TGTTCCATATAGTGGCCTTGACAACAAGACCAAGTTGCGACAACGAGGTCAACCCACTTCTGTCAATCGAAAGGAGACTGCGACCGCACCAGAGGCCACAACATCTTGGTCTTCATATATTCCAAAGACGATATAGCCTGACTTTTTTAGTTTTCTTACTTGTCACAATATAAGTTCGTTTTATTAAGGGTGAAATAACTCTAGAAAAAACATGCTTTCGAAGGCGGTTCAATTTAAGTGTAAAGTCAATGCGAATATGGTTGGAAGCATCAACGATCCGACCATGTGAGTGGCCCGTTGGTACCGTTTGTACCGAATGAGGCCGTCTTGTGGATTGCGTATACTTAAAGGTCTTGTAAAGGTTATGGGAAATCACTGTTGTGATTTTTGTGAGAACAACCAGCGAATAGCTTAATTCGTCACTTTCACATGAAGCCCAGATACATTTGTCTGTATTAAATTAGCTTTTTGAGAATTGGGCACAAATTCACCAAGCTCATGTGATTCATTTCGCTTACCCATGCAGACGTTTTCGCCGATTGCTTATTTACGCAAAGACGAACGTTTCCGAGTGCAAGAAAAAATACAGAGCTTTAGTCATCCCAACTATGATCCCTCCCACACCCGCCTACTAACACACATGCATACATGCATACATGCATACACGCATACACACGCATATATGCACACAACTCAACACAAACAGGTACCGGCACGTCGTCACGAGCAGACGGTACTGCTTCCTCTTTCTGTAGCATCAGCATTTTCCGACGAAACGAAACACACTCGGACGTTCTCTTTGAACCGACAGGTCGAGTCGTGTCAGTGAGCAGAGGTCCGATTCGTCTCTCGTCAACATAAATAGTCCGCCATCCCTTCAAGCCACCCAGTCAGCGCACAGTTTGGTCTGGAGAGGCAATGATTGCACTTCTGCTTGCACTCAGCTCCCTTTCCTGTGTCTTCTGCATCCCTCTGAAGGGCCATATCGGTAGGCAAGCCGTCAGTCTTGATCTTTTCGCTAAACTTTTTCCTTTGCCCGAACACGAATTCGCGGTGACCCTTTCCTCGGAGCAACCAAGTCAGGCAATTCCGTTGCCAGGCGTGGAGGTTTTCGAGGGCCTCTGCCAATTCGGCCGATTAATGTCTACAATTGACAGTCACGATCAGTGCCATTGTCAGCTTTTCTCGTCTTTGGCCAATTCGAGAAAAGGTTCTTATGTCTGCTTCCTCTTTTTCGTTTCTTCCCAATCCCCTTTCCACCGAATGCACGACACTACTTGACCAAATAACGTCGAATAAATCAACCGACGTGCAGATTGTTGGACTGAATATCGTGGACTCTGTATCAGCTCCGCAGACAAGTGTCCCTATCAGGTGAAGGCAGAGAAGATAGGCCTTCTCTGTCCGCTGACTGGACAAAAATGTTGCATTCCTGCAAAAATTCCGGAGAGAAGGCGTCGAAAATCACGTAAGTATACATAAAAATGTATTTTGCGGTTCAGCCAAAAACAGTACAATTCTAATAACTCGACAGAATTCATATATCAAAAGATCAAATAAAAGCATCTCACAACACTTCTTCACTTCATTGCAATTAAATCTAGTTCAGTTCACTTGACTATACTTTAGGTTAATTTACCTCACTTTACTTTATTCTATTTTGCATTAGTCTATTTTAATTTGCTTTACTTTACTCTACGTTACTTTACTATACTCTACTTTACCTTACTTTGCTCAGCTCTGCTTTACTTTAAATTAGTTTACTTTACTTTGCTTTAGCTTACTATAATCTGATCTACTTTACTTTACGTTACTTTACCTTAACCTACTTTGCTATAGTCTGCTATAATTTACTTTATTTTACGTTACTTTACTTAACTTTACTTTACTCTACGCTGCTTTACTTTTCATTAGTTTACTTGACTTGACTTTAGTATGCATTATTTTACTTTTAACTTGATTCACATCATATCTCGCCACATCGCTTCACTTCACTTCACTTCATCTACTTTCATAACTTTACCTCAAGTTAAATCGTTTCATTGAAGATATGAAGATCAAGATGTTGTGGCCTCTGGTATGGTCGCAGTCTCCTTTCGATTTATAGAAGTGGGTTGACCTCGTCGCAACTTGGTCTTGTTGTCAGGCGGACTATGTAGAACGCATCTAGTCCGAAGTCGTCTGCCATAGTAGTTTTCATGATTCCCAGCATCAGACAGTGGACTTGGTACATTCTCAAACGTTTCGCAGGCATCGTAGTCGGCATCAATTTTGCCATTCTCCGCACCAAGCTACGAACTCGTCAAAGGGACAAGTGAAGTCAATCCTTGCACCGAGGTTCTGCCGAAAACGGTTACACTATCACTCCTCTTTCTGACATTGTCTATCTATCTACTCTTTACACTCTCATCTCACTACATAGTCGCCCTGACAACAAGACCAAGTTGCGACAACGAGGTCAACCCACTTCTTAAATCGTATCTTTTTGCTTGAAATACGGATTTTGGCGCAGCTCATCCTCGTCCGATTATTTAAATTCTATGTTATAAATTGTTTTGCCGACCTTAACTTTGCTTAAATTCTCCCGAATATCAGCAATGTAAGTGAAGCGCATGTTGGGCTTATTTAATCGAGACATTAAATTAATTGACTATAAGTGGGTCTTGAATAAGGGTTCTAGTCATTCTAGGTTGCACAACGTGATGAAGGACTAACAGTTGAATTTATCCCTCATTATGCCATTAA